TGTGGGGTAGCACCCATACTGTGTTTGGTCAGGGAAGTCTCAAACTGCTGTAAGATCCATGGAGCTCAGGAGCACAGGATATTTGTCCTACTTTGGGAAAAGCATTGAAGCCCAAAGTCAACAAGAGCCGAGAATGGGACAACACATGGTCCTGCAGGGACCTTCAAACCCCACACAATCTCTTTCTGGGGCTGCATCTTCCTGGTGCTGCTCCAAGTGCCATTGCCCTACCAGCTCCATAGAGGCTCTCTCATCAGCCTGTGTGGCTGCACCGTGGCAATCCCAGCTTATAGTGGCTCAGCGTGAATATCCTGGATGTGCTTCAAGCAGCAGCACAGAGACAGGTTCTGCCTCTGCTGCACAAACGCAGGAAACTTCAGAGCCAGGAGTGACCCCATGGCTCTCTGTCCTGTGTCTCACCAATAAAGGCCATGGTGGTGGTCACCTCTGATCTTTGCTTTTCTTCCAGGTTTGACCTGGCACAGGGGCCACAAGGGAGCTGAAAGCACAGAGACACCACAGCATGGGCACAGAATAGACTCTTGGCTAAGATGTGTGTTGATGGGTGATCCATCACCCTCGGTGGATTCCCACCACACATCTGCTCCAAACTCACATTAGAGCTGTCCAGCTCAGCTCTAATCTAAGGAGGTCAGAAAAGCTGTCAGGCACCACTTGGGGAATATGGGGTCACAGCAGCCCTGCTTGTGGCTCCCCTCAGCAAGGCACAGTCAGCTCCCTGCAGGGGAATATGATCCCACAGGGGCAATGAGGGGACCAGGCAGGAGCTGTGTGGAACAAGCAGCCCCTCCAAACCATAAGCCTTTATTTGTTGTCCAGACAGTCACAAAGCAGTCCAGCCAGGCTAAGCAAAGCCCTGGTTTTGGCTGAATATCAACAGAGAGGGCAGAAGGGTTGGGGACCCAGAGGACAGCAGGAGAATGCCATCAGCCTGTGTGAGTCTGGGACTAAGAAATCCTACATACAAGTCCTGCTTCCAGGAAAGCAGAAATTAAAGCAAAGCCTGAAAAAAAGGAATACAGAAAACCAGATTCAAAGGCCTTACAAAAGCAGTAAGCAAGACCTGGGAGGTGAAGGGGCTGAGGAATGAAAAAGCTCAACCCTCCTTGGCCTTCTGTTTTCCTCTTGCCCTGCTCAATTGGATGAATTGCATGGGTTCCTCCACACTGGTCACAGTCACAGGAGAGCCAGGGGACATGGCAGCCATCAGAACTGGGCTGGGATCATCCTCTCCATTTTCCCCACGTCCACACTGCTCTGGATGTCTCCATGGTCCTGGCTGGGGCTGAGGTGACTGATCTCCAGCTTAGCCACCTTTACCTGTGGAGAAAAAGGGCACCCAGTGTCAGAGACAGGCTGCAGCACACAGCAGTGCCTGCCACAGGCCAACTCTTTCATCCCAGCTATGCCCAACCACAGGGCCCCAGAGGAGCCTGCCAGTGCTGAGGTGAGAGCAGCAGCCCCTCAGCCTGACCCTCCTGAGACCCCTCCCTGCAGGTGTCTGGGAGGGATGGCACAGACACGGGTCCCTGACAGACTTGAGCCTTTGGGATGCCCATCTTTGCTCACCCCTGTCCCTGCTTCAGGCAGGGAGCACTGCCTGAAAACAGACTCTGCTGCCATGTGGGGCTCAGTGGGCAGAGCTATCCTGCCCATCCCCAGCTAAGGCAAATCAGGAGATGTGTCAGTGCAGTGTACAAACGGCTGATTCTCCTGAAA